GGGATGAGGGGGGGACGGAGCAGGGCTGGAGGTTTGGGGCGCTGAGTGTGAAGATTGGGAAGGAGAATGAGCGCAGTCTGGCGCTGTTTGAGAGTGTTGGGTTCCGCAAGGTGAGCGAGGAGCCGAGTTATTTTGGGGAGTTTGAGTTGAGGAGGATGCGGAGTGCGCTGTCGCGGGAGAGTGTGGATGAGGCGATGGCGAGGGCTGGGTTGGAGGGGTATACTGAGCTGTCGTATGAGAGGACTGAATAAATACGATTCTGAAGCTGAAGCTGAAGCTGAACATATTGTCTTGGGATGTTCTTCCTAGTGCTGATACTGGTCTGGCATTGGTCTCACCATTACAACTTCCACGGTAGTATCTGACTACCATCCAGATTATCATCATGTACCTCTCATCTAGCCCCATTGAACTGAAATCCTCTTATTGACTCCATCCAAATAGTACCATCTGGTGAATAGCATTCTTTACCCTACCCCCCTACGTCATTTTATAGATTAGGGCTTCCAGATCAGGACTAGCGCCTCTACCCCTCCATGGCTTTTCTCATCAGCAGAAAAGTATCACCATTGGACTCTGTCAGGGCGAAAAGGGAGAAAAAGAAAAGAGACAACATGCCCATCCCCATAACAATCATAACCGGGTTCCTCGGCTCCGGCAAAACCACCCTCCTCCTCAACCTCATCCCCCAGCTCCCCGCAACCTACCGCCTCGCCCTCCTCAAAAACGAATTCGGCGACGTAGCCGTCGACTCGCAGCTCGCCTCGACACAGTCCATCTCCGGCGTGCGCGAGCTGCTGAACGGATGCATCTGCTGCAACCTGGTGGGCCAGCTCAGCGACGCGCTGAACCAGCTCCGCGAGGAGGTCGCGCCGGACCGCATCGTCATCGAGACGAGCGGGAGCGCGTTCCCCGCGACGCTGGCGATGGAGGTGAACCGGCTGGCGCGCGAGCAGCCCGGGAGCTTTGTGCTGGACGGGGTGATCAGCGTGATTGATGTGGAGAATTGGGAGGGGTACGAGGATACGTCGTACACGGCGAAGCTGCAGGCCAAGTACACGGATCTGATCATCTTCAATAAGTGGGAGGCGGTCTCGGAGCGGCGGTTCGATCTGTGTTTGGACCGCGTGGGGGATCTGGAGGTGCAGACGCCGTGGGTCAAGTCGGAGAAGGGGCGGGTGGACAAGGAGGTTCTCTTGGGGATGGACGGGGCGTTGTTCGCGAAGGAGGAGGGCGAGGACGCGTTGCGGTTGACGGATGAGCATCACCCCCATCATCATCGTCATGACCACCAGTCCGAAGTCGAGGTGCTGTCGGTCACGCTCAAGTCCTCCCGGCCCGACCAGACCGTCGATGTCGCCGCCCTCGAGATGATGCTGCTCTCCGCGCCCAAGGACGAAGTCTACCGGATCAAGGGGACCATGCGTTGTCCTGCCTCGCAACCGCCAGCCGACTCCGGGGACAACCCAGGCGAGAAGAAACCCGCGCCTCCTCCGACGTCCGACAATGAAGCCGTCCGACACTACATCCTCAACTGGGCCTTTGGTCGCTGGACCTTCACGCCCTCGGAGATGGTGGCGGAGAGCGCCGACTCGGCTGTCGTTGCCCGTATCACGCTTATTCTGGCCCGGTACGAGTCGGGCAAGTGGAAGAAGAAGCTGGAAGCTGGTGGGTTGATTCAGCTTGGTGACGGTGCCGAGGGCGAGTTGGTGGTCGAACGCCTGGTATAGATTACTGTTTCTTTTGCTTTTTTTCTCTTTGTACATGAACTGCATTGGAGCTGGCTCCTGCTGATTTTGTGGTTCGAAGACGATGCGGCCACGAATATAGATAAAAGGTTAGATACTTGATAGATATACAGATGACCCCATTGGAACTTCGAACTATTGACTCTTTGAGTCCGGGATACGAAAAGAACCAAAGACAATGACCAATAAAATCGATTAGACAATGTGACAAAAGTCGAGTCTATCAAGGAACAAACAAATTCAAACTCTACGGGATACCCATCCTCCCCATTATCTATCCCGCAACAAACATAGATACAGTCAAAAGCTTAAGCAGATACAAGAATTCCTCTAATACTCCAGGAGAGCAGTTGCACCGGCTTCGCTCGAGATATAAATCACCTCGTGGTTGTCCGAGAAGCCGTTGAACCGGGTGGCGCTGCACTTGGTGTAAGCGCCCATCTCCTCAAAGTACAGCCAGTCGCCAACGTCCAACAGACCAGGCAGCACAATCCGCTGGGTGATGACGTCGATCCCATCACATGTAGGACCCCAGATGGAATAGGCGATGCCCTCTGAAGTCGCAGCATTCAGAGCGGTCGGCTGGGTCTCAGCGGAGCAGGTCAGGATCTTGGCCACAGGATGCTGGTGGTCGAAGATGATGTTGGAGAAATTGCCGTACACGCCGTCGTTGAGGTACAGCATGTAGGCATCGTTGGCGGGCTCCTCCGGGTCGCGCACATCGCGGCGGGCGATGACATTGGCCGCAAGGGTGAAGGCACTGGCGACGTAGTAGCGGCCCGGCTCGGCAATGATACGAATGTGAGGCGGGAAATAAGTGTCGAGCGCCTCACTCAAAATGCCAGCAAACTGTTCAAAAGTGTCCTGGCAGAAGCCACCCCCGACGTCCAGAGTGTGGAGCTCGTGGCCCACCTCCGCGGCCTGGTCAAAGACCAGGCGAGCATCCTGCACGGCCTTGAGGAACGCGCGGGGATCCTCGGCGCCGGAGCCCACATGGAAGCTCACCCCGACGACCTTGAGCTCGAGCTCGTGGGCCAGTTCGAGCAGCTGACGGGCGGTGTCCAGAGAGGCGCCGAACTTCATGCTGAGCCGGCACAGACTGGTCGAGTCATCGGTCAGGATCCGCAGGTAGAGCTCCGCGCCAGGGTAGCAGGCCTTGATCTTGTAGAGCTCGTCGGCATTATCGAAAGTCATTTGCTTGACGCCCACCTGGGCGGCATAGCGCAGGTAGGACTTGGTCTTGCAGGGCTGCGCGTAGATGATGCGGCTGGGATCGATACCTGTCTCGAGGGCCAGGTCGATTTCCGCCTTGGAGGCACAGTCGAAACCGTTTCCAAGCTTAGCCATGAGACGAAGGATCTCCGGGTCGGGGTTGCACTTGACCGCTGGATGCCATTAGCTCCAATCGTGGTCCTCAAGCCGAAGACGCAAGAAAAGACTTACCGTAAAAAGGCTTGACGCGACCCAAGTTCATTTTCCAGCGAAGATGCTGTCGGTAGATCTCCCCCATATCGGCCACATAAAAGGCGTCTTCTTCACCGGGTCCGCACCGGTCCACATCCACCTCGGCGGCGCGTTTCTTCAGGACGTCCAAGACAAGGGTCTTGGCAGCCAACCTAGATTGCGAAAGATCGTCCCCTCCATGATTGCTGAGTTGACTATGATGGTGATGAAAATTATAGTCGTCTTTGTCGTGACAATGTTTTGTCATGCATACTTCAGCAGGTACACAAGCAGTCGGTGCCATAACCATGCGCGCTGCGACGAAGCACGGAACAGGTCTTGAAAGGTGGTTGAAAGAAATAAAAAGGCGATTGATGAGAGACAAGAACGCGACTGCGTGTTAAGGAGGACGAAAAGATTCGCAACCGAGGTTGACTGGACCAAGCCTCCTAGACCCTTCCTCCTTAAGAGGAAGAACCTTCAGAGAAGTCCTATGCGGCAGCTCAAAGAGTGCGGGAATAAGTTGGAGGGGTGTCAAAGGGGTGTTAAAAAATGGCGCACCGGAGGAGACCGAGGGAGGAGTCAGCAGCAGGAGGTGGTGGAATGTTGTTAAGAGTGTCGCGGAGCCGTCGAGGCGAGACAATTTGACGGAAGGCTAAGGCAAAGGCTGCGAAAGCCGTGATGAGCTGGTGCCTTTGGAACTGGGGAGTTTCCAAAGGCGTAGAGACGCGGTCTTAGAAATGGGAAGAAAACTTTGTCACTCAGTGGACAAAGTAAGAGATTTTTTTTATCCCACGAATGAGATAGATCTGACGGAGAGGAGAGCAGCTGTCAGTACCCTTGCAGGAGAGGTGAGTAATGATCGTATGGACGGAGGGGAGGGAAGGTGAGAGATTTTATGAGCGAACGACGAGGGCGCGTGCGGTCTTTTTTTTTTTTTTTTTTTTTTCGCTCGTTCGGCGGCGGTGGTGGTTTTAGGGCAAAGGGCACACGCAACGAAAGTGGGGGAAGTCGATATGGAATGGCAATATAGACAGAGACCAAATCAAGGAAATGAAGGAGCAGGGATTAAGACGGAATGGAACTTACCTCGAATGGCAATGGATGGGAGAGTCGGAGAAAGGAAGAGAGGAAGAAGAGGAGAGGAAGAAGGGGAAGAGGAAAAATTGGTGATGGAGGAGAGAGAGAGAGAGAGGGACTACTGCCCCTCTATGACGACGCTGAGGCATTTTCCCTCCTCCGTACTATAATAATATTAATATCAGCCATTCTATTCTATTGACTCATCTTTGCTCCTTTTCAACCCAAATTGCAGCCTGATTCTCCTTCTGGACCTGTCCATGTTCTGCAACCTGCATGCATGTGCTTCATCCTCTGTCCTCATCCTACGAGTACTGTCTGCATTGGATGTTATATTTAGCTCAATAGCTTGATCATGATTCCTCTACGCACTATACCATCTGTCTCTCAATGCCTCCGTGCATATTTATCATCACCATAACTTCATATTTGACTCCCCTATTGACTGTTAGTTAGATACTGAATCACAAATAAAGAGGTAATGGTACCTAGAAAATGTCAGCAGTCTAGTAAATCCACCTGTTCATTGTCTCCTATTGCGTTGATACTGCAGATGTTATCATAGACAGAGGGAGGACATAACTATATATATATACTTAGTCAGGAATGAAGTATACTTTCTGAAGGGTAGATATTTGATCAGAGATAGAATAAGAGGCGAAGCTGCTAGAAATAATATAAGCATGGATATTATTTGATTAAGAGGCCTGTGTACACAAACAATGAATATAGCATCACGTTCAGACTCACCTGTCAGAGAATGGGCAAGGCTAACTGATCAACAATCTTGTGAATGTACATAGAGGAGGCGAGACTCAAGAAGCTATCATGGCAAACTCGAGGTAGTGTTATTATCAACATCATACGGAATAAATATATACAAGTGTCTGGCAAAGAGAGCCCAGCAAACACGTACTAAGTCAGTTTCTTGAATAAAGAGTAAAGCTGCGCCAGGCAAACTGAATCCTAATAAAGGGGTATATATGCTTCAAGGAAATAGGAGGAAATAGAGGCCGGTGGCAGCATGGCACAAGAACTCAAAGTATTACAAGATATAAAAAGAAGAAGCAGGTGTCCTTCCATGAAAGTGATATCTCACATCACAACCACAGAACCCACCGTATGCCGGAAATTGCTCCTCGAAAGATACTGCGAAGGACCTTGAAGGCCATGACGATCAACCACACCCACCACAGCATCCCAACAAGCGCCCATTCAAGCATGACGAAGCCTGTACGGCGGAGCCAGCGCAGACGCCGATGGCGCTTCCGGATGCCCTTGTCGAGTTTGTCACTCAACTGCTTCACTGCAAGCGTACTTGTCGTGTTAAGGTCCACGCTGAGATTTTCGGTGTCGTCCGCCAGGGCTCGAACACGCGGGGCAAGAGTCTGGTTGACCATGTCTTCCAGCTGTGCCAACTGCGTTTTCAAAGAGGCGGAGACATTGGGGAACCCTTCCACAGACCGCCGAAACGAATCATGAGAAGTCTCAAATCGCCGGAGCAGTCCCTTAGCCGCCACATCGAATTCATGAAGCCGGATGACCTGGGGCACAGGGGAGTCGGGGCCATACGCTTTCAGTAGAAAGTCTGCCGGCGGACTGCGGATTGATTCGGCTCGGCGGGTAATTTCCCGCGCCTTGATGCCCGACGTCAGAAGAAGCGCCCGTGTACGCTCGATTTCCCTTCTCTCGGGGAGACCGGAGTCCACCGAAGTTGAGATGCTGCGATTGGAGATGCTCCAGGTCCTTGACTGAGTTGACGCACCACGTCGCTTGTCTTGAGGGCGATCTGCAGCCGAGACCTCTGCTTGCGCAAGCCCCGTAACCGGGGGACGGGTCATGCTGAAAGGAACTGATGGATCTTTGATTTGACCTTTCTTGATCTGCTTCCGGACCGTGTGGAACTCGGGCTCAAATCTTCGCCCATCACCGATTTTCTCCGTCAGAACCTGTGCATCATGCTTCTTTTGTAGCATCGAAGCGCCGAGCCCCTTCGTCTGCGACACTTGTGCATCATGCAATGGAGCATCTGCACCCTGCTTCAAAGGACTATCCACTGCCGAAGCTCTACGCTGTTCCTCTTGATCGATCCGTCGTGATGGAGTCGCCAAAGCCGCGGTTGATGGCAGAAGATTCTTCGCGGTTCCACGCTCGAGATGCTTGCGAGGAGTTCCATCCGAGAATGTCGGAAGTCGGCGCAGGAGGGCCTTGGGCCCGGACTTCTTTTCACCCTTCGCTTCCTCGCCCTCGTCCAATGCACTTTCCTCGGAGGGAAGAGTTGTCTCCAATGACGAAGTCCTTGAGTGAGCCGGATCGTCTTTCTTCATGATCAGGTCGCCCATTTTTGAGACCTCGTTGCCTACGATCTCCGCAATTTTCCCGGGTCCTTTCAAGATTCCGCGCAAGCGAGATTCTGGCTGGAATGATCCCTTACGCGCATGCGTGTGGCTCCCTGTCTTGTCAGCTTGGTATAACGGCGACACTTGATCCGGAATTGGGCTTGGTTCGAGTTTACCACCTCGATGTGTGGCATCAGATACATCTTGTGGTTGTAGATTATCGGCAGTGTTCGCCGCAGAGATCAATTTGTCTTCAAGGATCTCCCGGGGGCGTGAGTGGCTTTTGCTTCGCACATGGCGAGCAATAATTCCCTGAGCAAGCTGCCGTTTGGACGGCGACGGTGAGCGACTTGATCGAGGAGATAAGTTAGACGCAATGCTAGGGAAGTACCCAAGGGGAACAGGCGGGCTGGCAGTAGTAGTAGAAGGATCCTGACGACTTGCGGCGGACGACAACGAGCCGCTTCGCTCGTCCAGTTTGGCCCTCATCGGATGAGTGCTCACAGAGGTCTGAGAGGGCAGCGGTCCTGTATCGAGGCCATGTTCTTCGTCTGGAGCAGTCATAGAGGACTCTACTCGCGAGTGCGGAGCTCGAGTGAGTTTTGATCTGGCAGGACCTACATTGTCCGCATGATGATACCAGGGAGGTCTTTCACCAGCGGTGGAGACACTCGAAGAGCTACTTGACCGTAATCCCCCTTTCCGCTCCTTGGTGCCTATGCCGGTCAGTGAAGTACCCCTGCTGTGGAAACCATGTGCAGGACTGTGATATCTATGCCGTCGCCTTCCACGATTGACGCTTCTGAACTCAGGTCCCAATGCAGGATGAGCATTCGAGAAAGACATATCAGAATCCGCGCGTGCGCCCACAGATGGCGGCTTGGCTGGCAAATGCGTCTGGGCAGGAGAGGTAGGTGGCATGCCACCAGAAGGATGCAACTCTGCTGGGTCCGGAAACAAAAGATCCCCGTCTTTGTCCACCATTTTACTCTTGTTCTGACCTTCTTCAACCCATGCGGCATCAGCGAGGAGTTCAGCCGGCGAGATCATCCAGTCAAATCTTGGCCTACGAGCTTTGATGCTGCTAGTGCGGCTGACTCGTCTCAAGCTGGAAGGAGGAGACGTTGCAAACACATCTGGATCATCTGGTTCTTCTCGTGGCGGATCCTTCCGACCTCGTTCGAACGGCGGCAGCTTCAGACATTCGGAAGGCAGATGACTTGTCTCTCCATACTGAGACTGAACCGAGTTCACCCATTCACGCACCCTAGCAACGTCATACCAACCTTCCGACTCTGGATCAATTGGACGTCTCTCCCGGAATCGGACTTTTCGATTTCGAATCGCCTGGAGGGGATTGTAGACTCGCGACTGAGGAAGGCTGCCCCTTGATGCTGATGAGGCGTCTGTAGCATCTTGCGTGCCATGATGATGTCTCAGTGGCGGAAGCGAAGGGAGCAGACGCAAATAGAGATGAAATAGCTCAAAATGACGCCGGGCTTTGTCAGCCCGAGCAAGCGTACTTTCTGAAAATGCTTGAGGCAAGGGCTCTCCTCCAGCGGCATTAGGTAGCAAATCCAGCACGGATGATGGATTCACGGCTGATTCACCAGCCGGTGGCGTGGCGCGGTCACTAATCCCCGCTTGAGTATAATCGCGATGCGTATGGAGAGCCTGATATCCACGGCTGGCGCTCGTAGTCAACGTTGTACTATCAGTATAGGGGACCGACGCCCTAGCCCCTGGGAGGCGAGTCGAGACGGAGCGACCGAGGTTATTTCTCCTCCGGGACTCACTCAAGTTCAGAGCCAGATTGACAATCTGAAGTGAATCCCTATCCAAACCTGGAGCAGCCTCATTATGGTCCGTTCTCGCTGGTGGCGGCTCCGACGTTGAAGGTTGCTGCGCGGACGATGAACCAGGCGTTTCCGTTTCTGCGGCCTCGTGAGGACTAGCAATCACCGACGACCCGTCCAGCGACTCTCGATTACGACTCCAGGGAAACCGCGACCTCTTCTTTGGTGTCGCAATATCGCTCTCGGGAGCGCCACGCTTCTCGTTGCGATGCGATTCCGAACGCCGCGGCCGATGAGAGCTGGTCCGTAGGTTCCTTGATTTGGGCAGAAAGGGTGAATCGATGAGAAATGAACTCGAGCTCGGTGTCCGTCGTTGACTGTGTCTCGCCCTGTCTCCGTCGCGCGAGCTGCTGCCGAGCGTGCTGCCCTCCAGCTCGCCGCTTCCTCGTCCCTCGGTCATTCGTGTGGGAATCCGCCGATAGGAATCGCCATCAGATTCGAGTTAGGCAGCAGGTTTTGATGCCAAATTATTCCTATGTTTCAAAATCGATATAAACGATGCAAATAGCGATTCGACGGAATCACCGGTTTGTTTAACATCAAAGCCGAGACAGCGTCCGGGTCACTCCCGCGAAGTAAGGAAGGAGTTGCGTGTTACGTGGTTGGAGTCATGGAATTATTGAGAGAAGATACCACAATGCCGACTTCTATCTCTGGTCAACTCAAGAGCATAGCGGCAAGATATAACAAAGTGTCATCTTTCACCACAACTTTCAGATTCGAGATCTTCGAGTTGAGATTTGGTCGATCAGCAAATGCGTCAACGGCTTGGAAGCTGCTTGGAAGCTGCACGTGTAATACAAACAGAACAAACACTATATATAGACTCAGGAGTCAGGATTCATACAGAAGACGTCAAAGGAAACCCTACAGCCATGGATGGAGAATATACACAAAAGAAATATACAAAAGGAATATCTAGCATTGAGTCTAACAACGTAGAGGTGCCACTAAAGGTACAAGTCTTCCATAGACTATAGGAACATATACGCGAAACAGAAAGCGATCGCTAGTCTTTTATCTATTCAACTCTCAAGCACTGGAGGCGCGCCTCTGTCTCGATAACCTGTAAAGTACATATGTCAGCTCATCTGTATAAATGTAACAATGAAGCGAAAGGCCATTATCTTACCTCTAGAGCCTGCTTTACCTCCAACACCCGACGCACGTCGCCCAACCAATCCTTGCTCAGAATCTTGGCCCATCCTTTGAGGGCGTTCATCTCCCGAGCAGCGGCGTCGAGGTTACCCTCCTCCAACAAATGCTCGGTGCGAAGGAGCACACTTTCGACGTCGTCACTGCCCGCGACGGCGTCCTTCTTGAACATAACCTTGCTCAGGACAAGACTGGCCGCGTGGCTGGCGATGCCAGCATCCTCGGGCAGAAGGCTTGCCTTGCGGACTTCATCGGCCACCCGGCGGAAGCGCTCGATGATCTGAGACGTTGAGGGAATACCACGCTGATAAGCAGTTGGGTTGATCGATGCAATAGCAGCTTCGACGACCGGGTCATCAGCAGCCAGCTCCTTCACAGCAACAAGCTCACGGACGAAAGGCCGGGGAACGGTAGAGCGCTCGAGCACGGAGCGGACGGCATCCACGGCGACCTGGAGCTGCTGGGTCTTGAGGTTGGTATCGATCACTTCCTTCCAGTCGGTAGTCAGCTTCTCGAGTAGGCCGACATTGGCGGTCAACTCGTTCAGCTTGCTTAGACGACCTTCACGTTCCCGCTCAACCAGATCCTTCACCTCGTGAAGGTACTTGCGGTTAAGCTCAATGGCCTGCTCGACCAGCTCATTCTTGAGGCGCTGTTCAGCCACTTCCTGAGCTCTCTGCAGCTCTGTGTTGACCTTCTCTTGGTAAGCACGGGCGAGTCTCTCGCGCTCAATTTCAAACTCCTCCCGATACTGAGCAGCGTCATGAGCACGTGCCTCCTCGAAGCGACGAATGAGCTCTCGGGCAGACTCATCAAAGGTCGCATGGGCCTGTTTGATCTCTTCCTGGGCAGCGTTTCGCGCTTCATTGCGGATGGCGATGATCTTCTCGCCAATCGTTCGAAGCTCCTCCTTTGCCTTGTTGACAGCACCGGAGAACTTGTGCGCGTTCTCATCGGCGCCGATGACAGTGACAATATCGTTGAAAGTCTTGACCAGTTCCTGCACGACCTCTTCATCGCCCTCACTGACGGTTGCGAATTCAATGGGCGTCACTGCTGGAGCTGCGGGTTTCTTGGGTTCCTCCTGCGTCTTCTTCTTGTCTTCAGAGCCCTGTTCCCTGGCAGCCTTATCTTCCTTGGCCTTCTCGACAGCGGCGACCTTCTCCTGAGGCTTAGCGGCGCCAGGCTTGAATTGCGCTTTGTCGCCGTTCTCGAGCGCGCTCATATGAGGGCCCTTCTGTGACACATCAGCTCCAGATTGCTCCTCTGCAACCTTCCAGGAAAGCCCGCTCTTGCTCGGAATTGTGACCTTGTTGCCCTCATCCTTGGGAGCACGGTTCTGGTTTCTCAGCGTGTTGGGGAAGCGGCGGTAGAAGTCACGTTCCTCAAAGTACAAAACACAGTCTTCGCCATAAGGAACGTATTCCGTGAAGAAGTCATGGAAGTTGTCAGACTTGAGCGCCAGGAAGACACCACCACCGTAGGCGAATCCAGACGTCAAAATCAAGTAGAGAAGGAATTTTCGAAAGCGCCCGGTCTTACGGGCAGGAGCAGGGGCGGGCGGGGGAGGGAGAGGAGCCTCAGCAGCTGCACTAATTTTAGCACTCGGAATCGTCAACGACTTCAATGGACGATGGGAGTCGAACCTGGTGATGGCTTGGGGACGGTCTCTGGAGGAATAGGTGATTCGGAAGAAGGGGCGGCGGGGGTAGGTGCGCCAGTGACGGGAGGTTTGGCATCAGCAAAGAATCTCTGTGTAAGATGCCATTGATATTAGCAAGCATGCCCGAACATACCAAGGAGGGCAGATTGTCGTCATACCTGGCCGGCAAAGCGGTTGCTTGCTCCAGCTTTTGGCAGCCATTGCGAAGCTGTCCGTGAGCGAGCTGGAGACAGGAGCAACCGTCGGCTCTGTGTGAAAGAAGAGCGCAGCATGGCGGGCCGCACAACAGAAGAGGAAAACGCTGAAGGCGGGTTAAGAAGAGGGGGTTGATGTTGGCAAGAGAGAAATCGCGGACCGGAATTGAGATGATGCTTTTACGATCCGCTCCGAGGAGCCCTGCACAGCCATATCCAAGTGGCTTAGTTCTGGAGAGGTTGCACCGCCCGAGTTCTGCCACCAACTACATACTCCGTGCTATCAAGGGCGAGAGAGGGTGATGCAACCATTTTTGCGTTTTAAACTGAATGCCTACATCTCTGAGAAACAAATATCTTGTTATTTCGTATTACTGCTCCGTTGGCAATATCCAACCTCGTTGAGTATTGGATGTCTTCAAGCGCGCGTGTCCTTCGACATTATACTGCATAATGCAAGCAAAATCAAGCACAAAGTGATTAACTCCACTGTCAATCTTCGAGCACGTTGTTCAAATGAGAATTATATAAGCATAGCATACTGATGTAACCTGGAGTGAATAAAGACAAGCGAAGAGTGACAAAAGTAGAACAAAACTCAGCCCATCAGAGAATGCAGACGCCGGATTCAAACCAGAAACAGCTAGAGACAAGGTAAGATAATAGAGCGAAGGTACAGCCCTGTCGCATAGTATCTAGAGAGCCAATTCCAAATTGACCCTGGCACGATGTTCGGATTCCGCAGCCAAAAATGGCGATTGATGGCCTGGGATCGAGAAGACTGGAAGCAAGGTGACCTGAGGCAGGAGCGCAAAGTATTGTTCATTCCATCTGAAGCTATTTCTCAGTCACTGAAACACCATTAAAACATATTGCGAAGCAAGGCCGGCATCATTTGGTCCAACTTAAGACTGGAGGATGCGGACCTCGCATATCTAGGCACAAGAAGTGGAAGGGGGAAAAGAATCTGGATCTCGGGAGGCGAATCTGAGGAGGAGGGTAGAAATTTCGGCAATTAACAGTTGCAAGCTCCGGCGCCCTGCGTGCCAGGTGCTTCCGGCCGCAAGTCCACACCGGGACGAGGAGTTGTGCGCAGATTGCGCGGGCCCGCCTGATCGAGAGGGAGTTTCTTCGCGATTGCGGCGAAAAGTTCCTTCACATTTGTCGAAGTCTTCGCCGATGTTTCGAAGAAAAGCAGTCCGGCTTCACGTGCATAAGCTTCGGCATCGGCAGTCGGAATGGCTCTCTTGTCGGGATTCTCCGTAACTAAATCCAGCTTATTACCCGCGAGAGCAATAACAATATTCTCGTTCGCTTGTCGCTGCAGCTCCTTCACCCATGACTTTGCCTTGTCCAGCGATGACTATTTGCACAAAATGCCTGAATTAGTTTCTCGAAGTAGCCTGATAGCAGACAAGGTGATTGGGGCGCGTACAGCCTGAGTGATGTCGTAGACAACGACAGCACAGTTTGCATTCCTATAGTACATTGGAGCCAAGGACTTGTATCTTTCCTGGCCAGCGGTATCCCATATCTCAAACTTGACCGTTGTGCTTTCGTCCAGCGAAATGGTCTGTGTCAGGAAGGCAGCGCCGATCGTCGACTCTCGGTAGTCATCAAATTGATCCTATAATATCCGTTAATTTCTAAGCTGTCTCCATGAGCCAACAGGCACCAGGAGAAGAAGGCCAAAGCTCACTTTGACAAATCTCAGAACTAGTGAACTCTGGAGGATAAGATGTCAGCGACCGACAGAACACAAATAGCGGCTATGAAGAGCTTTAACCTTTCCAACAGCGGATTCTCCTGCGAATCAAACAAAGAGACGTCAGTAATGTAACTCGAAACAAATGCAGCGAGACAGAACAAGAGGGCAATCTAACCAAGCAAGACAAGCTTGAACTGGGCGAATCTAGCACCGGGACGGGTTCCTGCTGGCGCTCTGGAGGCCATGATGACTGATTTGAAAGAAGCACTGTTTCAGGATGTATCTTAGAATTCAAGCGCCGAGATCTCTGAGGGCGAAAGTGGTATAAGAATGAGGCAAGAACGCTCTGAGGGATGGTTTGAGAGTGATGAAGGCGGGATCGGGATACCGGGGGAGGTTTGATGGCGGCCTGCTGGTAAGGTAAGGTTACTGTAGTCTTGGTCTGGAGTAGTCCGTACTGTAGGTAGTCTGGTAGAAGCAGATGACGAAGGGGGGGTCAGCCACAAGTCACAACTGACTTTTAAGGGCCTAAGGCAACTGAATGACCTGCGGGGCGGTGTGGCGCTCCCAACTGAAATATTAGTACTACGCAGTACTCCGTAGTGGTAATAATAATGGTTGCCAGGTAGTACTACTACCTTGTACCTCTCTGCGTCTTGCCTAGGTTCCATGGTGGGACT